GATGGATTGGGAGTCATTCTAATAATTTCTAACAGTTATGGTGGCCAGTCACAATTCTTTTAGCTAGAAGCATCTGCCAGGAAGAACGTGCCAATGGCGAAAAAAGCCTGCGGGGGGAACTGTGCAAAAAACGCATCCTCGTATCTGCAGCCGGTACGCTTTCGACTAGGTTTTTCTTGGGATAGATTGATAGAGGGATGACGCCACTGCTTTTTTATGCGTTTTTGCATAATATGCAAATGCAAAAACGCATATTGTGACGAACCCGGTGTGTGTTTGTGTGTGTGTATGTGTGTGTGCGCGTCTGTCCGGATATTTCAACTCGGCACCCAAGCAAGCTCCGGCGGCGAAATTTTGCCAGTGGATCCCTCACCCAAGTGCCACCGCAGGACCGCGGTATCAACCCTCAAGCACGTCTAGGCCCCGCGTACGAGGGGGTTAAAGTTTTGGCGGGAAAACAGCTAACCCGGCAACCAGAGAAGCTAGAAAATTGAAATTTTGAGGTGATGTTCCCCGCCCCTATAGAACCTAAAGATTTCAAATTCAGCCCCCGGGGGCTCGTGGTTCCCGCGTACGGCCCCGTGAGGGTTCCTGGCGCGAAAATCGCTAGCTCGGGAACCAAGAAAGCTGCGAGGCTGAATTTTTCAGGAAATGTTCCCAACTCATCTGCAACTTCAATTTATCAAATTCAGCCCCCCGCCATGCGTGGTTGCCGCGTACGGCCCCGTGAAGGTTTTTGGCGGGAAAATGAATAACTCCAGAACCGGGGAAGCTGGGAGGCTAAAATTTTCAGAAAATGTTCCCAACTCAACTATAACTTCAGTTTATCAAATTCCGCCCCCCGCCATGCGTGGTTGCCGCGTACGGCTCCGTGAAAATTTTTGGCGGGAAAATGAATAACTCCAGAACCAGGGAAGCTGGGGGGCTGAAACTTCCAGGAAATGTTCTCAACTCATCTACAACTTGAATTTATAAAATTCAGCCCCCCATTATGCGGGATGGCTACGCACGGCCCCGTGAAATTTTTTAGCTGCAATTTCGGTAACTCGGGAACTGAGAAAGCTG